TGGATAATTCTCTGTTAAAAGTTTTATGAAGATAGCATTGATACTTCTCTGATAAAAGTTTTATGAAGATAGCATGGATACTTCTCTGACAAAAGTTTTAGGAAGATAGCATGGATACTTCTCTGACAAAAGTTTTAGGAAGATAGCATGGATACTTCTCTGACAAAAGTTTTAGGAAGATAGCATGGATACTTCTCTGACAAAAGTTTTAGGAAGATAGCATGGATACTTCTCTGACAAAAGTTTTAGGAAGATAGCATGGATACTTCTCTGATAAAAGTTTTAGGAAGATAGCATGGATACTGTTTTAGTTGTTGTTGACTAAGGCTTCTCTGTTAACAGTTGAACATGAACTTGAATTGAGTCCTTGTTGTTTACAAACTCTTTCCTCTGCTCTAGTTAAAAGACACGTAGCTCACATCAATGCTAGCTAGCTAGACCAGCTAGTTATTGTAGATATAATATGTACAGTTATACACATATATCAGATTGGATTGGAAAAGCATTAGTTAGCTTCACACTTGATACAGACTGTACCTTATACCACCTTATACCAGCGCTATAACTAGGATCCTGTATAATGAACTTCTTTTGTTTATAAACATGATCTGTTTTACAGTTCTTTAAAAGTTAGTTGCCACTTCTGTCTGTGATGTCCTTTATGAATTCCCACATATATGTGTGGCTCTTCAATGTGGTGCAGCATATTATTTATGAGGATGATCTCTGTTCGATTAGTTTATAAACAAGTCCGTTACAATAATGATCTATAAGGTATCTATTGTTTATAGGTGTCCCTGGTAGTCAGTTTCTTCAGCTGATAAAAATTACAAAATACACACATAATTCAATTAAGAAATAATGTACCATCATAATAGATGAATGTTTCGGGCAGGTGAGCTAAAAATCATTTTGTCTGTAATAAACTACAACTGTCATCCTGAGGATAACTAATACCCCCCGCAGATGATGGTAATTTATACATCCCTAAGTGACCTTGACCTTGGGGTTTACGGACAAGTTATTTCGCATAAAGGACTATAACGCCCTTAAAAAAAAGGGTTGAAATCTGAAATTTAAATGCCGGTGCACAACTAAATAATATACTGATCATTCAAGTGAAGTTTCAATAAAATCTGTTTGTTAGTTCAGATAAAGTTTACCGGACAAGTTACTGGGAACGACAAACAGACAGATAAATAGTACAGGGTGATACCAGTATATCCCCCTTACTTTGTTGCGGGGGGTATAAAAAGTAAAGTCAAAAGCTGTTGAATTATTTAATAGTTCACACAACTAAAGAATAAGAGAAATATGTGTAAAAGTTTTATGAAGATAGCATGGATACTTCTCTGTTAAAAGTTTTATGAAGATAGCATTGATACTTCTCTGATAAAAGTTTTATGAAGATAGCATGGATACTTCTCTAATAAAAGTTTTAGGAAATTAGCATGGATACTTCTCTGATAAAAGTTTTATGAAGATAGCATGGATACTTCTCTAATAAAAGTTTTAGGAAAATAGCATGGATACTTCTCTGATAAAAGTTTTATGAAGATAGCATGGATACTTCTCTAATAAAAGTTTTA